TACATTTGGGATTTAGTAAATTCTGAACTGGTTTTGGCCTGAATGAAGTTCATTAATTTATTTGAAAATAAATTCTGAAATATGAGCATATACACACATAGGCATCCTTCAGTCTTGAGAGACTATGGTAACATGTTCTGTATGGAGGACTTGGAACAGCGTCTGGTGTTTCGACGCTGTATGCAAAGCTGGAGTGTCCTCTTCAGGGCACAAAGCCTGGGTAAAATAATATGGAGGATAAGCTGTTGCCCAAGCAGCAAATCCTCCCGCTCCACATCGTTGAAATAGTCCAGTGGAGAGGCAATAGCCAATACAACTGGTTCTAGCGACATTGCAGGAGTGACAGAACGACATGAACTGCCTCCAGGACTCCAGCTCCGGATTTTGCCTCGAGGTTAACTCCTGAAGCCTTTTCCATCAGTGGATATAGCCACAAGGCAGTGGAGGTTTAAAGCTGGAGTTTTACTTCTCATAGATGGGCTACCTTCCAAGGCTGAAGAGCCCCACCTGCTTGGCATAAGCATATAATTGACCCCAATTATGACAATTTAAATTGCATGATTTACAGAAATATTCAGATGTCTTTAAATATTTTTCTACTTTAGAGTTACATTACTTAATATAAACATGAAAACATGGTTATTGTATTGCATTGTACTGCATTATTGTATAGCTTAATAACTATCCATGAAAGAAAGGGTGTGTCAGCTTAGCGCCATGAAAATATGCAGAGTTAATTGATTGAAGACACAGACACGCTCTTCTTCTATAGCAAGACACGTGTATTATACAAAATATACAAATATACAAACTGGCAGCACTTCGGCGTAGCAGGCAATCAACAGACAAACTGGCACAGCGGGTAGCAGCAAGTGATAGAAGGAGAAGAATACATTAATGTTTACACTGTTCTCTTATATCCATTTACAGAGCTTCTTCTGTCCAATCACAGGACACATTACATCATCTTCTCCACCTGGGTGTCACCTCTTCTCCAGACATTGCATCATCCTTTTTATCTGTCACAGTGACTCAGCAGTCACACATCTGTTCATTATGGCAGCTCATTAATGTTATATCTAATCCAGGTTCAGGACTACAAAATAACAATATCCTGACAGGGTGAAGATGCAGGGATTGTGGTAAATCAGTGAGAATTGTCCTGTGCTTTTTTTTCAGGGGAGCCTGGATAGCTAGGTTTTTTTATGAATCAAGATTTGCTCCATTTTATGGAGGAGCAATTCTTGATGCACCCTATTATAATTACATTATTGCAATAATTATCATAGAATCATAGAAAAGTGAAGGTGGAAGGAACCTACAGGGCCATCAAGTCCAACCCCCTGCTCAGTGCAGGAATACAATCAAAGCATATCTGCCAGGTGAGGAAGGGAGGGCTCTAGAAGAAGGGTATGCTTGTCCTGCCTGGGGACATAGCTTACTATAGAGGAAAGGTGGACAATATATCGCCCATCAGATGTTGTCAGCCAGTGTTGTGGAATGATGGGAGTTACAGTCCAGCAACATCTAGGGAGCTACAGATTCGCTATCCCTCTTTTAAACCATACACAAAAGAGCTGCCTTGTGGAGGACCTAAATAATAGGCAATAAAAAATTGGAGTTAAGGGCCAAAGTACATGTTATATGGTCTGTTTCTTAGAAAGCCATGTACAGGATGGCTTATTCTGTTTTGAAAGGAAATAAACTATAGTTTTCTGCCAGCATATATCCATCCCATTTGCAAAAAGTACTTTTCCCAGTAAACAACATGTCTGAGGACAAATAGAAGTAGAGGGTGCCTTTTCCACTCTGGGAGTTGTAGTCCAAAATGTAACTTTTCCAAGTTACATTTGGGATTTAGTAAATTCTGAACTGGTTTTGGCCTGAATGAAGTTCATTAATTTATTTGAAAATAAATTCTGAAATATGAGCATATACACACATAGGCATCCTTCAGTCTTGAGAGACTATGGTAACATGTTCTGTATGGAGGACTTGGAACAGCGTCTGGTGTTTCGACGCTGTATGCAAAGCTGGAGTGTCCTCTTCAGGGCACAAAGCCTGGGTAAAATAATATGGAGGATAAGCTGTTGCCCAAGCAGCAAATCCTCCCGCTCCACATCGTTGAAATAGTCCAGTGGAGAGGCAATAGCCAATACAACTGGTTCTAGCGACATTGCAGGAGTGACAGAACGACATGAACTGCCTCCAGGACTCCAGCTCCGGATTTTGCCTCGAGGTTAACTCCTGAAGCCTTTTCCATCAGTGGATATAGCCACAAGGCAGTGGAGGTTTAAAGCTGGAGTTTTACTTCTCATAGATGGGCTACCTTCCAAGGCTGAAGAGCCCCACCTGCTTGGCATAAGCATATAATTGACCCCAATTATGACAATTTAAATTGCATGATTTACAGAAATATTCAGATGTCTTTAAATATTTTTCTACTTTAGAGTTACATTACTTAATATAAACATGAAAACATGGTTATTGTATTGCATTGTACTGCATTATTGTATAGCTTAATAACTATCCATGAAAGAAAGGGTGTGTCAGCTTAGCGCCATGAAAATATGCAGAGTTAATTGATTGAAGACACAGACACGCTCTTCTTCTATAGCAAGACACGTGTATTATACAAAATATACAAATATACAAACTGGCAGCACTTCGGCGTAGCAGGCAATCAACAGACAAACTGGCACAGAGGGTAGCAGCAAGTGATAGAAGGAGAAGAATACATTAATGTTTACACTGTTCTCTTATATACATTTACAGAGCTTCTTCTGTCCAATCACAGGACACATTACATCATCTTCTCCACCTGGGTGTCACCTCTTCTCCAGACATTGCATCATCCTTTTTATCTGTCACAGTGACTCAGCAGTCACACATCTGTTCATTATGGCAGCTCATTAATGTTATATCTAATCCAGGTTCAGGACTACAAAATAACAATATCCTGACAGGGTGAAGATGCAGGGATTGTGGTAAATCAGTGAGAATTGTCCTGTGCTTTTTTTTCAGGGGAGCCTGGATAGCTAGGTTTTTTTATGAATCAAGATTTGCTCCATTTTATGGAGGAGCAATTCTTGATGCACCCTATTATAATTACATTATTGCAATAATTATCATAGAATCATAGAAAAGTGAAGGTGGAAGGAACCTACAGGGCCATCAAGTCCAACCCCCTGCTCAGTGCAGGAATACAATCAAAGCATATCTGCCAGGTGAGGAAGGGAGGGCTCTAGAAGAAGGGTATGCTTGTCCTGCCTGGGGACATAGCTTACTATAGAGGAAAGGTGGACAATATATCGCCCATCAGATGTTGTCAGCCAGTGTTGTGGAATGATGGGAGTTACAGTCCAGCAACATCTAGGGAGCTACAGATTCGCTATCCCTCTTTTAAACCATACACAAAAAGTTAAAGTTTATTTTGGGACTACTTTTGTTATCAGTTTTAAGTGCAGAGTGTATTTGCTTGTTATTAAGTGTTACCTAGCCTGGTTTTCACTGCTGATGTTGTTTTAAAAGCATTGTGCAGTATATCAGCCCAAAGATTGCTTTTTAAAAAAGTTATAGAAAAAAAATCTTAAATATAGGTCTTCCTTTGTCCGAGACTGGTAGTTTAATATTATTGAAATACATGTATTTTAAGTGCTGCAACATTTTGAGCTGGAAATATGTGTGGCGTGCCTTTTTTTCTAGATTTTTTTTTTGGTCCTCTTCCAACTTCATCCATGTGGGTTCTGCTAACTCTCAGCTACATGGCCCAGTTAATTGGTCATGTCTGATGTAGCACACACCTTCAGTTACTGTAGTAATATAACAAAATGGGTTGGAATCGAAACAAATATTTTCTTTTCTCCAGCGCCTTCTGTATTTACTCATGACACCAGTTTTGTTTTTATAACTTTGTGCTGACACCTTGGAGTTGAATAAACAAACAAGTCATTTCCCCTTCATGTCCTATATTCTCTTTACCATATGGTGTCAGGGTTATGCTAGAATACAACTCTTCTTTACCAATTGTCCTCCATATATACATCACACACAAAGGGAATGGATTTGTGCATCCTGGAAGTGTTCCTGCCATAATGTATGTTCAGTGTGAATGCAGATATATGACTAAGAACCCTGTGTGACTGGTAGAGATGGGGATCAACCATCAAAATGGCGGTTCATCCTGCTTCATAGTTCATGAAGGTTGATGAACCACGAATTTCCCGGCCATGAACCACGAATCAGTTTGTTGGTTCATCAGGGTTTTTTTAATACAGCCCGTGGAACACCTTGATTGGGCATATCCTGCGAAGAGCAAAAGAGCTGGGGAATGAAAGTCCAGGTTTCCCTTCATGGTCAGTTAAGGGCAACCAATGAAAAATATTTGTGTTACAATAATGTAAACAGAATCTCCTCCCTGCCATTGTGTGTCCTCACTCGGGGATCTTCCCTCATCTAGTCAGAGTGCTCTGCAAGAAGCTGAAAAGCAGCCTCTGTTTTGAGTATCCCATTTTTTAAAATTATGTTGCAGCTTCTGTAATGTTACACAAATAAATATAACCTCCAGAGTTGCTTGGTGAAAATTCTTGTAAAAACTACAGATGCTGGAGAAATTATTTATGTGCAGTTATAAAAAAAAATTAAATATGACATTCCCTTTCTTCTTGTAGAGAAGTATGTTGGAGAAAGAATTAAATAATTGTGTTCCTTTTGCAGAATTTGGGTAGGAAGTTTATGTTCTATTGTACATGCTAGCTGGGAGATTTGGGGAACTGTATCTTAACAAGTAACATTTTAAATCTGCATCCCTTCCGGTGGAGGCAAATAACACTTTAGCTTGTTCACCTTCATATAGAGAAGGATTGTAGACTGCATGTCGACCTAGATTTATGATAGGGATGGCACTAGGGAGGTTCCTAGTAAGACTGTATGGCAGCTTGGTCTTGAATTTGTACACCGTCCGGGAGTAACCTACCCATGCCTTCTATTTTATTTTCCAGAGAAAAGGTATTATCGACCTCGTCCCAAACCCAATGGGCTGAGCTTCTCTTCCCACACAGTGGCAACCCGACAGGTCAGCGAGACAGCTTTGACTCCCTTGACTGAGCAAGAGGGTGAGGCTTACCTGGAGAAGTGTGGGAGCATCCGTCGCCACACGGTTGCCAATGCTCACTCGGATATCCAACTGCTGGCCATGGCATCCATGATGCACTCAGGGATGGTGGTGGAAGAGCCAGACAATGGTGATAAATGCTGTCTCTTGCAGCCCAGTTTAAACCATAGGCAGTGTTCCAGTGAGCCCAGTATAGCAGATGGACCAGACGGGCTTGGGACACCTACCATGCAGGAACCAACAGAGCTCAACTTCACATCTGTCTGCTGAATTGCCACACAGAAGGACAGGAAGACTGGCAAGCACTAAGCAAACTATTGTGGGAAGCAGGGAAAAATCGAAACTGCAGGAATGGACCTACATGGCTTATCCTGGAACTCATACGTTTTGGAAGAGAGTATATTTCAGGTTCTAGCTTTACAAGACTAATATGTACATTTTCCAGCAGTGGTACAAATCTGCTCAGCTGAAGTTCTCCATCATCTTGTTCCTTTTTCTTTCTTGGTTCCTGAAGGCTCAGTCACCATGCAAGAACCTTGTTGTGGTCTTTTATTTAAAGAGGTAGTGATGATCAGTTCAGATGAAACACTGTACAGCTCTGAACCACTGGTGTGAGAATAGTGTTCTTCCAAAACTGGGCCTACTTGGTATAGCAATCACATCATGCTCCTCATTCAGAAGCAAGTATTGAGGGAAATGCTGCGTATGAGACTTCTGTAGCTCCGCTGTGGATTGTTTTGAGATGTTCGTTTTCCGACTTGCTTTTCTCAGGGATCATTGGTGCATAGTCCAAAGAATTATCTAAGGAATTTAGATTTTAGGAAACACAGTTAGTAGAAAGGGCTTTTGTTTAGTCTCCAGTGTAAGAAAGTGTATATACTTGCATAGCTGTAGTATCAAAAGAAAAAATAACACCCTTTTAATGGAGAGCAGAAAAAACTAAACAAAACGGTGAAGTCCTTACAAACACAAGGACAGATGATACCTTTAAACTGAATAAACAACCTAAACTAGTCTTCCTCAGGGTGTGTACCAATATATTGTAGACATCACAGAAGTAAAAGAATATATGTGAGTCCCAAAAGTTTTTGGCAGGTGACTCTGCTTCTTAAAGTTGAGTTCAAAAATATAGGTTGCAAATACTATTGGGCTGTGGGTCCAGCTCTAGTAGCCTTTGCTGGATTTTCCCTCGTAACTCCTCAAACAAAAGACTGCCAAATAATCTGCATTTAGCTCCACTGTTGCCTTATTTTGAAACTCAAAGTTCCCATTGGGCTGGAGAAAGGGAAATAGAGAAATGTGGCAATCGGAATTTAAAGACCTGGAAAAATACAGTGGTGCCTCGCATAGCGATCGCTCTGTTTAATGAAGAAATCGCTTTGCGACTATGTTTTTGCGATTGCTTTTGCGATCGCTTAGCGATGGTCCCTATGGGGAAAATTCGCTTTGCGATGATCGCAGGGAAGTGATCATCGCAAAGACTCCATTTTTGGCCAGGTGATCGGCAGTTCCAAAATGGCCGCTGGGTAAACAAAATGGCCGGCTGCTGTTTTGCCTTTCTTTAAAGGCACCGAAAATGGCCGCCCCTATGGAGGATTTTTGCTTAAGGTTAGTTTTTAAGCCCATAGGAACGCATTAATGGCGTTTTAATGCGTTTCTATGGGCTTTTTAATATTGCTTAGCGATGAAATTGCTTAGCAGTGATTTTTGCTGCACGGATTAACATCGCTAAGCGAGGTACCACTGTAATCTTAAGTGAAACCAACTGAAGCCAAATTAATAATATTACCTAGTTGTTGGAAAGTCTTCATAGCTACCCAAAGCACCACCTGGAAGACAATATGGACTCTTAGCATCAACCAAGCAGAACTGCAAACTGAAGAGATCTACTTCCAACTACTAGGGAATACTATTAATTTGACTGTAGCCTCATGGCGCAGAGGTTAAACTGTAGTATTGCAGCCCAAACTCTGCTCATGGTCAGTGTTTGATAGCAACAGATCTGACAGTTGGCTCGAAGTTGACTCATCCTTCCATCCTTTCAAGGTTGATAAAGTGAGTACCCAGCTCACTGGGCTGGGCCCCACAATGTATAGACTGCATAATTTTTAAACAATTGTAAACTACACAGGAAATGCTTTAAGCTCTGTGGAGCGGTATATAGGCAGCACACTGCTTTCTTGCTTTATTTTGGCTTCTCTTTTAAGAAGCAGACTTTGCATAGCCATCTACCATAACTTTTGGGGACTGTAATATATATTTGCTTTCTACACTATCCACAGCACGAGAAGGACTGGTTTGGGTTGAAAGCTAGCTTTTGTTCAGTTTTTTAGTGGTCCAATAAAGATATCACCTGTTCTAATGGCGAGCAGTTGTGCACTCAGATACAGTGTCATATTAGTGAAGACAGGAACTTCTATAAATGGCCTGTTGGAAGTATAAAATTGACTGTTCTGGAAATGGTTTTAAATGAGCACCAAGAATGAACGAAAGCTTAGCGTTTTTATTTCAAAATGAATTTCTACAGTATGCCAAGGTCCTCAGGCAGATAAAAGACTCAGAGCTAATGGTCCTGCTGTGCAAATCTTCCATACCTAGCTAGGATTGTCAGTGGGTGATACAAGGGGTGGGGGCACTGCTGCCATTTAGGCTGGTATTCCTTCTGCCACAAGAGGAAGGAAGCTCCAGTTCCATGTAGCTTTGGAAACTGGGAGGGCTCTATGATGTGTGACACTGGTCACCTCCGCTGGCCACATGGATGAAGCAACGATCCTGTTGGTAACAGGAATGGCTTTGCTTTTATTTAATTTTTAAAAAACTGTACCATAAGCTGTTTTTCATGTGTAATATATGTTCCATGAGACTTGTCTTTTTAAGAAGCAGAACATGACCCAATTAATCAGACCCAGACCTAAATCAAATGAAAGAGGGAGAATCAGCTAATCTTGAAAATTAAGGTAAAGATAGGAAATTTTGCTATTGTGCTTATTAGCACAATTTCCCCATGATTAATTTTTGATTTTGAATTGCTAAAGGACTTTCATTGTATCAAAAGATCTGTTGAATAAATTTGGTATAGATTGTGTGTGTGGCTTGTTCCCGTTCTTCTGCAAGGATATATCATATCAAAAAAAAATTGTGCCTGTTATTACTTCCTCAAAATACAAAGCCTAGCATATTGTCACTGGATATACATTGTGGAACTGTTATTAGTCTACTTCTTCAGATAGTCACTGTGATAGGTCACTTTACACTGTATTTTGGAGAATAAAAAATAACCACAAAGACTTCTTTAAAATGCATCTTGAGTTCAAAATAAGGAATAAACAAACACTGGGTCCAATTGTCATACATAAGCCCTACAGAGGTCTGTCTAGCATTATAGCTTTCACTCTACAAAAAGTTTAGGTAATTCTTTTGTTTTTTAATTGTCCTACTGTGTGTCCATCTCTGGACTTGAATATGTGAGTTTAATGTATATAACATTTTCCTATATATGCCACTCCTGTAAAATTGTGTCAAAACATGGTAATGGTGTTGGCTTTAACTCCATGGTAAGGATTAGCTTGGTTAGTCTTTTTATGCTGAAAATTTAGTAGCAGTAAATAGTAAGGAGCTCTTAAAAAGAAATCTTTACAGACTGCTTGTAAACAAATCATAAAGGAATCTTTCTTACTTGCTGGCATTCTACACATCCATATGAAATTTTTTTCTTTTTGAAGAGGCTGGTTCAATATTTCTTGAACTGCACAAAATAGCCATATTTACTCATTCTTTATGAATGTATAGAGTAAGTGCATAATGGGGGAGGGGTGAACTGTGTTAGCCCTGCCCCTCCCCGTAACTCCTATTGCCTCTATGCATGAAGAGAGTGATGTACCTAAAATGAAAAATAAGGATTCCAAATCATATGGAATGTCTGTATGGATAGTGGAGACTCTCCACACCAGATGTTTATCCTGTATGAAAAGGGCAGTGATAGAACTTAGAGGCAAGAGTTAGTGCACTGTTCCTTGCATAGTTCCTACACATGTCTAAGGCATGCCTGACTAGGGATTATGAAAATTATATCTGTTGGCATTACCTTGCCAAGTAATTGTGTGCTGTCAAGTCAATTCCAACTTATGGTGATCCTTGCCAGGATTTCCTAGATATAGAGTATTCAGAAGTGAACCAAAATCCTGACCCTTGGCTCTCCATCCCAATGAGCTCTCCAGCCAGCTCTTGAATCTTAAACTCTTTTTGCTTTCCCATTTCCTTGGCTCATGGACTTCCCTCTGCTTTTCCTAAATTCAGTCTACAGTAGTTCAGAAGATAAGACAAGAAAAACCTGTGCTGGAGGGAGAAGATCGCACCAAACTGTGATTTAGTGTTATGCTTGAAATGGGTCATTGTGGATTTCAGAGCATCCATTGCATCTGGCCTTTAAACAGAGCTCTGCATGGAGAACCATTCTGGAGTTTGGGAGTTGAGAGCGTCAAAGCAGTAGTGTACTTTTGAATTCAGAAATGCAAGGTCCCTCTATGAGACCTGCATGCAAACACACTTTTTTTTCTTCCTGAGCACACACATTCACATGCTTCAAATTATGACTTGGCTATTGCTATTTGTGGAGGTGGAGGAGGAGATAGAAATTCATGGGAAAAGAAGGGAAAAGCTCCCATCCAGAGACCAGGCCCACCAATACTTGTATGGCTTGTGAAAATGTGGAGCCAGGGGTAACTGCCACGGTTTTCCTACTACCTAGGCTTCTACCATGTCCTTATTCTAGACTCAGCAATAGGGCACAGCAAAACACAAACACATGTGGATGTGCCCTGAGAAAGATTAGAGCACAGAAAGTCAAGGAGCACCCAAGGCGTCCTAAACAGGCGAGCCAGCTCCCTCTGCCTTGGATGGAGTAGGATTCCTTCCCCCGATCCAAAGGGGGAAAGTGGTCTGAAATGAAGGGAAACAAATACAGATATTCTTCTTACAAAGGACAGGCTCCAAAAAGATGTCCGTGCTTCTACTGCCCCCTGTGGGGTGCAACAACTACATCATTGCTTACAAGGTAAATAACAAATGATACTCTCTTTAAACTCTATAAACTTTTTTTTTTTTGCATGTGCACTGAAATCTCAGTCACAACATGTCTGTAGCTCAAGACTTGGGTCTCAAAGCTTGCTTTCTCCTGGCCAGGCATGCCATAAAACACATATGGCAATGGCCTTTTAGCGTCCCTGATATAGTTTAGCCCATAGTGAAGCCTCAGTTAGTTATGGAATAGGTGCTACCTTAAGTTACCTCCAGAAACCAGTATCGGCATGTTCTGTAAAGCAGGGCCCTCACTGTAATAAAAACACGTCTGCCTCTATTTCCTGGGCAGTATGAATGCCTTGTTTTTTGTACTGAAAACAAACAATGTCTCCTCCAATAGCTGAAAGGAACTGGTTTCTGTATTAAGTTTTAATCTAGGCACAGCTCATAAATCTTTCTCTAATAATGCTCTGTCATCGCTAGCAGCAGGTGCCTCGCAGCAGGGGCTGCGTTTGGAATCAGTTTTGAGCACAAGTCGCCTCCTCCTCCTCCTTTTAGGTTTTTCTTCTCCCCAGCTTGGGCTGAAAATCGGATCTGGGCTGCCCTCAGAAATGAGTCACCTTGATCTTACAGATTGAAGACTTATGAATAATTCCAAGCTGCTCTTTTCAGGAAGAAACAACAACACATCAATCCTAATATTGCTTTTTTAAAAATACCCGTTTCTTGCAATCTCATGTCTGCAATTCTACAAGATGCTGGTGATCAGCCAGACATTCTTCTTGTCTGAGAAAAGAGCAGGATGTGTTTGCTAACTGTGTGTCTTCCGTTGCGTTCCAATGTCAGCCACAGCCACTGTATGTTCAGTGGCAAACACTGCCAGGAAGAGTCTGCTGCTGTACTTGCCTGCCTGCCTCAGATCCAAAATAGTACAGGGCTCTGTGTTGGGTGGGGAGTCCCTGATGCAGAGGTTCACCTTTCAAAGTGAAGGGGAGAAGAGGAGACCGGTGAGGGGATAATGCAGTCCAAAAGGGAATTTCTCCAGAGGCTTAGTTCTATTATTTGCCTGTTACATCCACACTGGTTTTGCAGGGAGAAAAACTCCTGTCTGTTCTAGAAGACCGTCACCGAATAATCCAGTCTTGTGTCTATCTTAGCACAGTAGAGGGCAGGGACCACCTCTTAGGCCCATCCATCCCAATAACCTTGCCCCTGCTTTTTTTGGTATTGGTGTTTTGTGGGTCACCTTCCCAACACAAGTAAGCTTGCTGCATTCCAGATGTTTTCAACTATATCTCCCACCAACACACCCTGTGGTCACAAATTGTGGGAA